CCACATCCGCACCATACTTGAGCGTGTAAAGCTGCTTAACCTCTTCCAGCTTCTGCTCAAGCCGCTCCACACGGCTGTCACGGGGCACGCCGGTGCCCTGAGTCACGTTCCAGGCAGTGCCATCCGCATCATACTCCGTGTCCACATCGCGGCCATACTTTTGGGAGTACATGTCCTTGACAGCAGACAGCATCTCTTCCAGCCTGTCAACACGGCTGTCCGTTGGGATGCCGGTGCCTGTGGTTTGGATCCACGGAGTGCCGTCAGCATCGTACTGGACATCGGCATCCTCATCCACATCCGCACCATACTTGAGCGTGTAAAGCTGCTTAACTTCTGCCAGCTTCTGCTCAAGCCGCTCCACCGGAATGTCACCGGCCACGTCAAAAGCAAAACCCGTTGGCCGGGAAGTGGCACGCACATCGTGTTCCATGGCCTCGCGGCCAGGCGGCTTCCGGATTCGGAAGTAGACGTCCTGAAAGTTGTCCGAACTGTCAAAAGCTCCTTCTTCATCTTCGGGAATCGACAGCTGCCTTGTAAGTAACGGGAAGTGTTCTTCGTCAAAGGGCTGTTCCAAGTACCCGCTCGGAAGTCGGAATGGCTTGTGGTCTGGAGTTGCCGGGGCTGTGCTCGCCTGCGAGAGAGGCGTTGACGTAGAGGCATGGGCCTCTGCGTCCTTCTTGAGGTCGTGGGGGCTCGCGGGCTCGTGACCGGCGAGCCCCGCAGAGGCTATCTGAAGCTCCAAGGCGCGTGGAACAAACATAGACATCTTGAGTTCCGACTGAAAGGGAAGGCGGATTTTGAATGCGGGAGGTCGAGCTGAAAACGGCGCTTGAGCAGAGGGGTCAGGTTTGGGCTATGTCATGTCTGGGTTTCCGGGTGCTGGTGCTTCTGCTCTATTCATACAGGAACTGAAGCTGGAGTCTGCACGAAAGTCCACATGGTCTCCAGAAACATGGCACATGGCATTTCCCAAAACGTTGCCTGAAAAGAGCGCGGCCGCTGAAACTCAAGCAGCAGCCTGGGGCTGTGAGTTTGCGCACCGAAATCCGACCACAGTGATTTTTGTGCAAAAACCCTGACCTCTGAATCCACTTTCAAAGCCTTAAATCCCCATGCTCCAGCAGGGCCCAAGTGACCCAAAAGCAGGTATCTTGGCGGCCCTTGTACTGCGTCGGGGGGGACAGTTTTGGGCTTGGCCTGCTGCGTACATCCCTCGCCTCGGGCCCTCCCCCAGGTGCATATGCTGCGCAATTTCTCTCACAGTTGAATCTAATCCATTGCCGCACAGAACAGAACCATGGTCCAGCATCTGAGGCCAGAAGAACAAGTCACAAGGCCGGGACTTGGTGCTGGCGCACGCCTTCGAAACCAGGACATCTGCAGGCCCAGGCTCGCCGTTCACCTTTGCCAGCTAGGAGCACGTCCTTTTTGTGAGTCAGTTCTTGTCAGTTCTCGTGAGTTCTCCTGCTTGGTACCTTTTGGAAGTCTCTCACCGTGCCCAGAAGAGATGCTTTAGGGAACTGACTAGCGGGACCTATACTTCAGCGATTTCACCACACAGGCCGGAAACCATGCAAAATCTTCACAAGCCTTGCACATTGCACAAGAAGCGATGGAACCCTCACTGCCTCAAGCAAGCGGTCGAAGCATTGCACCTCCACCAAGGGTTCCAAAGAGCAGCACGAAATTGCATTCAGCTGGGCAGGAGGGGTGCTTGGCAGATCAGGAACATCTGCCCCCCCCCCCCCCCCCCCCCGCACTTTCCCAAGCAATCAAGCCCGGAAAACCACACCAAAGGTCGGTCTTTCCTTGAACTCCTACATATTACACCACTGAAATCGATTCACTGTCGGAAAAGCACAGCTGGCAGATTTCCGGAACTGATCTCTGCATCAACTGACCTTCTGAAGGTTCGCGAGGTTCCAGCAGTTCACCAGGCCTTCGGCCTGCAGAGCAATTAGGCTTTCGAGTCTGGGGCTTCGTCGCTCACACTGCATTTTTGGTTTTGGGTTCAGGGCTTTTAGTGGCCATCATCATGATCATGAAATACAGAAAAACCACTTGATGGCAACAATGGTACTAGCAGGTGGGAATCACCGGCAATCCCATCCCTCCCTGAGCGCCTGGACGCCCACCACGAGACAAAGCTTCTGATCGGAAGCCTGAGGCTGTAGAAGTACTTGTTTTTATTCTCCGTGGATGCTTCGCTTTGCTCTGTTCCAGGTTGGGGACGCACGTTCTGTTTATGCTCTTCTCTTTGCTGTGAATCCTCAGACCACCTGTTGCCCACGTTTTGCTGCAGTGCTTCAAGAACAAAGAGTCCGATCTTGCAACTGTCTCCGCAGAGTGATACTTCGCAGCTAGTGCTGCGCTGACACTAGTGCTGCCCCACTTCGAAGAGCCAGCGCCGGTACTTCTGTCAAGCTTCTGGTTTGCATACGAAGTTCAGGATTTGCCCGAAGCCATGGGCATGGTCTCTGCTGAGTATGTCACAACACGGGCACCGCAGGGTCTCGAGAAATTAGGGCTTCAGAGATTTTGTCTTCGGGTTTTGGTCTGCACGCCCATGTCCCAAAGAGGAATGGAGAAACATCCTTGCTCCTTTTGAATTACATTGGCTTCATCTTGCGCGACTTTAGTTTAAGTACATGTTCTGTTTTACTTGAATTTCAATACAAGTTAACCACATGTAACAAAATTCCAGTTGACCCAGTCTACACTCAATTGCTATTCGCCTTCGTAACATTAGTCAGTTATAATTTCTTCCTAATTGTCTCTGGCTGTGAGACCATCCTTATCTATTTTGATTTTCCACTGCACTTCTGCTGTTTCTGAAGCGTCTGATTCAGCAGTGGATGGTGAATCCATGTAACATGACTTGCCACAACCAAATTGTTAGGGTCCCATTAGTAAATGTCTTCGGCAACCCGGTTTCGCGGCGAAATAAACGTGTCAATTGGCAAAGGCTTCCGCCCTCAAATCCATAAACTTATCCATGCAGGGCCAGAGCCTCGAGTCTACACAGAAGGGCCTCCAGGCCTAAAGACAAGAATAGACGAGATTGTCACAGGGCCCCGACAAAAGCCTCCCGCAATTTTAAGACTAAGAGTGTCTATTTTGTTCTTTCCAAGAAGAACACCTTTGCCCATGTAAGTCTTTGTCGGACGAGTCTCGCCTAATTACGGAAGGTGCCTTTCACGACTCCAAGTGAAGAAGGGTAACAACTCTCGCTATTTGTTACGAGAAGAAATCACGTTTCTTGCCTCCTGGCAGGTGCCTGCGGCACCCTAAAAATCTCAGAAGAAGTCCAAAGCCAGCCCATCAGCGCGACCCCGTGCCTGCCAAGTCCCGAACTCTGCCCCCAACATGACTAACATAGCTAGTTTGTTCAACAGTCCGGCCACCTCGACCTCTGTTTTGACCCTGACCCACCCAAAACGAAGCTCAAGCTGTGCCCGAGAGAAGTCACTGACCTATAGGAGGTTCTTGCGCGCCCGGAAACATCCAGCTGCAAGCCGATGCCGGCCAGCTTCTCCCCTCCTAAGCTCAGGGCTGCAGGAGCACAGCCTCGTTGAGTCGCTGAGCCCCCACGATCTTGCCAGTGCCATGCAAAAACCCTACTTGAGGCGCGGGCTATCCAACTCCACCTGCTGCCAGGCACAGCGTTGAAACAGTGACCCCTCAGGCCCTTGCTGCACGACGTTGTCAAGCCCAAAGCTTCAAACCGAACGGCATGAGATGCGAAGCAAAAGCCCTAAGCATGCTAATGTCCGTGCCAAGTGCCAGGACCATGCGCAGGCTCTTTAAGACTTCGCCTTTGTGCAAGATATCGATTACGCCCCATTCTGTCGTACAATTGCTCCTCTATACACAAGACTTGAAAACACTGGTGATACGTTCCCCTTGCTTCACCTTCCATGCGAGTGATCAATAGGTCATTCGATCTAGAACACACACGAACACCACTTCCCCAGACTCCTGCGTTGAAGAGTCTGCAACGGTGGGGTATGTGAGGGTATGCCTAGGTGATTACTGTCATGATCAGACCAGTCTAGGTCTAGGTCCTTTGTGCATCACTCACCTGGAACTTCTTGGCCAGGCCGGGCGTAGTTGGTGCCTGTGGGCTCAATGAGCTCTCCTCGTGCGAGTCATCGGAGAGGGCTACCGAGCTTTCCTTTGCCCTTTCTTGTATCCCAAACACGCGGCTGCCCTTCAAAATGGGCTTGGCAGTTCGAGCAACCCTGAAACAAAGGCCTGAAGCGTGACCACCACCCTTCTTCATCTGAACCCCTGCGTTTGATTTTGCAGGCCAGTGCTTCGGCGCCGCTGCGGAAATTTGCCGCACAGCATTTGTATTCCCAAGCGCGACAGCATTGGTCGCAGCACCATCGAGGCGGCGCACGCTTCTCTCGCATAGGACAATGACAGCTTTTCGTTAGACATATTTCTTCCAGCACGGCTCAGGATGTGAGTCTGACGATGGGTCGGGCTGCTTGCGCCTCCTTAACTGGAACTACCTAGATTAGCTACAAGGCCGAGGCCTTCATGCAATGTTGAATTTTCGGGGGCCAACCTTGCCCGCGTGTAGTCTTACGGCACTGCGCTCTGAGCCTACTGCAATCTCTCTTACAACTCAACCCTGAAATCCGATGCCTGGGATGGTTCCCACTCCAGGGTCCTGCGCTTTGAAGTTCCGTGTTGCTCTAAACTGCACCAACGGTCTGAAGCGGGACGACACATTCACTAAGCCGATACACTGATGAGTAACGTGTGAACGTATTAGTCCTCTTGCGGACATCAGTTCCTGATGTTCCTGATGGGTCTTGTGGACGTTGGGCAAATTCGGTCGGCATCTGTCCCGGCGAGCATCTCTTGGAGACGCACGTGTGCGAATTGCTGCATACTCCGATCTCGAAAATGAGATCAAGGGCACATCCCACCGGGGTGTTTTTGTCACATCTTTTTGCAGGTCCACGCTGGATCCATAGGAGGCCTGCTCAAAGGTCACCACCACCATCATCTTCCTCGTCGTCTTCCTTGCCGAGCATGCCGCCACCGCCGCCGCCCCGCCTTCGGAAGTGAGAGGGCGCTGAGGCTTGGCTGACCCTTTTGCATCTGGGCCTGTGCAATTGCCAGAGACTAGCCAGGGCACACTTGCTTACCAAGCCTAAACTACCCCCGCAAAACCCTAAACCCTCGCAGTCGTTTCATCTTCAAGGTTTTTGGTGTCGACTGCAGGTCCCTTCTTGTGACCCAGTCTGACAAAAGCAGGACGGAATCCCCGGAACGGAGCAGCCGACAGTGCCTGGCAGCAAAGCGCCCTTTCGAAAACGACATGTTTGCACCTGGCGGCTGGAAGACCGGCTCGTTTTGCTGCAAGGCTTCGAGCGGGTGAGGACTCTTGGTTTTCTCTCTCTCTCTCTGCCGCTGCCTTTGGGTTTGCCTGCTACGGTTTGAATTCAAATCCCTGCGGTCGGCTTATGCGAGGGCTTATGGCTTATGGCAGTGGAGGCAATGTCGAGCTTCATGGAATCGTCAGCAGCACTCTCCGATATGCGGCTGTCACTCACGGAAGACGGTAGACAGTCGCAAGAACACGCAAGCACTACACACCCAAGTCCTTGTCCCGAACACATTCATGCGAGTGCCTGCGCCAAGGGAGCCCGTGCGCCGGCGCGCTTCGAGCTGGCTGCGCGAAACGCCGGTGATCCGGTACAGCTGCTCCTGCGAACACCCAGTGTGGAGACCTGGGTGGGTTTGGGGCTTTGGGCATCAAAATCCCGCGCCCTGGCAATGTTGTACTGCTTCTCCATGTACTCCGGGGAATTGTCATTCCGGAGCCCGAGCAAGGCCAAGCCTGCACACTCCCATAGTATTTCATAGTTGTGGTGCATTTGGCTATCTCTGGCAAAGCAAAACTCATCCGGGCCCCTCAGACAGCAACTCCAACCGCGCAGTCACACAGCCTGCCAGGGCCGCGCGGATCATGGAGGAGCCCGCAGTGGTCGCCTTCTGCCCCACATTCACATGGAAGGCGTTCAGGGACACCTTGCGACCCATGCAAACAGCAATAAACAGCAGTTGCTAGAGCTGCTGGGCTGTGGCGATTTTTTCAATGTGGTGGTCTGATTCGAGCTGGAGATTCATTGCAGCAGCTCTGCAGGCTCTACCGCACGTCACAGCATGTCTACCTTGCACGTGGCTCTGTGCGGCGTGTGGCAAAGACGAAGAGGAACATTGTCAAGATCGTGGTCACTTTGATCAAGACATTGGACAAGATCCTTATGTCGTTGACAAGCCACGCATACAGAGATTAACTTTTTTGAAGCGTGGATTGAGGTCATACGGACATGAATTACGCAGAATTACGCTTCATATTCTGCCACGCCGCCACCACACCACCGGGAAACCGCGCAACACCTCCAGCCGCCTGAATTTCTAGTCCTGAGCCTTTCCTTGCCTTAGACAGGTAAGCATCTGATGTCGCAAGAGGCCCATGTACTCGAAGATGGCTTCCTCAGCGCTCGCCACTTCGCAGGCAGAGTAAGTTTCATGGCGCCACGGCCGTGAAAGAAGACTAGAAGACAGTGCTGTTGTACGCAAGGCTCCGGGATCACCTGGTCCACCAGCTTGTCGATCAAGCTGAGGAACTCCTGAGGATCGGGGGCTCCCAGCAAGCACACGAATCTGCTTGAAAACCCCTTACTGCTGTTCTGGCTCAGCACAGCACAGTACAGCCTCTCTGCCACATACCGCCACAGAATTTGCCGAGCTCAGAAGATCTAGATCAACCGCCCATCCCTGCAAGTGAGCAGCTGTGAGGTCGATCCTGAGATACAGCAACATCCGCGACATGCTACAGTTCAAGGAGTGAGCGCCAAGAGCCTGTGACAAGAGTTGTGGTTTTATCGGAATCATGGAAGCACTGAGCTCCATCCGGATGCAAACATCTGGGGCAATTCAAGGCCAGCTGCTTGTCGTCACAGTTGGTGTCGACCTAAGTTCACTCAGCCTTTCCACAGCTCAAGTCTAGACCTGGTTGGACGGTGAGGGAGCCCTTCTTAGGCCAAATGCAGACACCTCCTGGTTTCAGATCGACCCGTAACCTCCATATGTGCAATGAAATTGGATCCCCCTTGACACCCTCAGAAATGACATAAACCCAGAAAGGCTGGGCATCAGGCAATCATAAACGCATCTTGGATATCGTCTGCGTCCAGATTCATGTGCAACTGCTGGAAGGACGCTTGGACCTATGGCTCTAAGCTGGAGGGGTTCGCAGCTCACTCGGGCTTGTGGTTTCTGCAAGCACTCTCCGCAGGGTTCTTTTCAGCACCACTTGGCCTCAGAGCTGCGACGATTGCATTAGATAGGCAACATGCAAGCCGGCCTCTCACTAAGCAGCGAAAGCCCTGCAAATGATAATCTTTGGGGGTTTAAAATTCTGTCACCGCACTGGGGTGACGCTCTGATTTCCCGAGCATTGGAAGGGAAAAAGGCTGGTGAGGGCTCTTTCCTGCGAATCTGTCTGGGGCAGGGGCGGTTTGCAGGTCCATGCCTTCTTGAGACAGGAGCAGCAGCAGCTCGCAAACCTGTCCCAATCACAGCTCACAAGTGCCTTGAGGGCCACTTGTCTTTCCGTCTGTGACTGTCCAACTGTCTGGAAGGGACACCGCCTCGTGCGGGTCAATGATGCCGCAGCATCCCGTTTTCTCGTCGACCTGCTTGAAGGCTGCTTTGATCTCCTTCAAGAGTTGCTCGAGGACCGCCAGTCACAAGACCCACAAGCACCAAGAATCTAAGAAGCATCCTGAAGATTCCAGAAGCCCGTCCTTGGCATCCAGTCCGTGCAGCGTGGGAACCTGCAGCTCGTTCGAGATGAGCGTGCGCACAGACTCGAAGAACATGCCGCTGGACATGTACATCCTCGGGCTTCAAGTTCGCCCCAAGGCGGTCCCAGCACATCCCCCATGGCTTAGAAGCTTTGGGGCGACCCAAGCCTGACCCGACGAAGCTCAAAAACCCTGACCTCACCCCTGGCTTTGGGACTGGCGCACCCTTCAAAGTGCCGCCGCGCAACACGAGCCGATCCTCGAGGTCCTTAACCTAACGGGACCGAGCACCACGAGCGCGTATGTCGATTATGTTGTAACATTGTAGACTGCCCCACTTCGCAGCAAAAGTAGGCAAGTTGAATGTTACGGGCTGTCCAAGCATGTGAGACGTATAAAGACAAGGTTTTCAAGATTAATCAGGTGGCAAGATTAATTGAAGGACAGAATTCTAGTGATTCGCGTGTCCACCAAAACCCTTGAAGCCTTAGCCCCTCCCCACAAGCTCTGCCTGGCGCAGGGAAGGGTGGGTGCACTTCGTCTTGTCGGCAGCGTACCTCCACAAGATCGACTGCTTCTCACTTGGCTTCTAATCTTGTAGTTGGTTTTGTAGTTTGCCCCGGTCTCCACAAGCCTATTAGCCAGGTAAGTCCTGTGTACTCAACATGTGGTATCGGACCGTCGGACCGTGAATCGGCGCACCAGAGCGCTTCCACCGAGGACGGGGGCAATGTGAACTCCGCCTTCTCGAGGGCATCCTGATCTCGCGGCCCTCTCTGCAAAAATCATTGATTGGGCTGCAGAAATCGGGGTTTTTCCAGATGTGCCATCTCCAGCGGGTCCGGGGTTTGGCCGGTCGGGACAATGTGATTGCCACTCCCATTCGCTTCCGATCTGCTTCGACTGCTCTCATTTTGATACAGGGTAACTATGGGTAACTGATGTGGACTCAACCCTGGACGCGGCTTCAACGAGCTGCCGCTCCCCTTCGACACCTCGGCGAAGCAAGTTACTAAGTTGTGCGATTCGATTTGCTAAGCCAGTTGTCTGCCTGGTCAACGATGCTTGGTGTCCAGCTTTGGCCACAAAAGGCGGGGGGGGGGGGGGGGGGGGGGGGGGGGGGGGAGGGTGGACAATCTTGTTGAAGCTCAAGTTTCGGCGTGGCAGACGATGCTTCTTTGGCAAATTCTGCACTGACGGCTACAGAATGTTTTTCGACATGACCGAAGGTGCTCGTGTTCTACATCTCGTTTGTTTGTGCTTTGCAGCTGCACAACATGCTGAGGAACAATGTTGACAAGTCTCGTTGTTGGATTTACTTTGGAACAAGTAAAAATTAGCTCCTTTGTTGAGGCGTGGCAGACAAAGCTTCCTTGGCCGCTTGTCGATTCAGGCTCAGGAATAAGATTCCTACATTCCCCTCAGGACTGCTGGCTCCCTTTCGTTATTAGCCCATAGCTGAAGCTAAACGAGGTCAAACGATCGGTCCTTGAAGATCTGTAGAGACACTTCGTCCGTGTTTTCCACCAGCTTCTTCTGCATCCAGTGGTTCACCAAGAAGTCCACAGACAGCAGTCCCTCGAACTCCTCGGACCCAGAGCCTCAAACAACAGGAGAGATGGCTTGTGAAGGCAAGGCCTTCTCCCCAAAACAGGCCATACAAAGAGCCCTACATGTGGAACGTCGGGGTCCCGGCTGCTGGTGACCTTGCCTTGGCTTTGCCGGGCTGGCTTTGAGGTTCCAGTGACCTACCCTGAGCCCTACATACGAGAAGGAAGATGCCTGGAATGAGCTCTGGATTCAAACTTGAAAGTTCCATTGCGCGTGGTGCCATCTGTATGGTCATCAGGCAATTGCGATATACTGTGATTCGTGGGATTGGCAGGTTGCCAATTCAATTCAACGTGTGGTTTGCTCGCAGGCATTAGAGAAACAGGTAAGCCAGGCACAAGTAATCTGCTGTTGGGCGCCTGTGAACCTCTAAGCAACAGCGCGGGATGCTCTTTGCCCTTACTCGGTTGTTGTTGAAGATTGGAGCACAATGACACTGAGCACAAGCACCGAAAGAGGCGTCTCGCGGCGCGAGACATTCATCGCTGTTGTGCTGGCACCAAAGGCTGCGGACAAGCCTCGCTGCTCCCTCAGCGCCTCCTGGAACAATAGCAGCCCTTGTTTTGCGTCCTGGTGATGGAGCTCAGTGCTATGCTTCCGGTCATGGGGAAGCACAAACCCTCCACTTCCCAAAGGCCACAGGAAAAGTTTCACTCCTGCACTGGGCTTCCCATCTTGCTCAGGATGTCCAAGAAAACTTCCTCGGAGGCCGAGCAACTGAAATCAAGGAATGTTCGCGAAAGAAAAGAGCAGCAAAGATAGCGACATGCCCGAACCCGAAGCACCCAAGCCAGTCATCGTCCTAGCCGACACAAGGTGGGGGCATGAGGGGATCGTTCATCTTCATCGAGACCCGGCTTGAAGAAAGGTGTTCACAGACGTCGCCAAATTGCCAAAGGGTCAAGCCCACAAACCCTAAAGCCCGAAAAATGCGCCAAGGGTCGTTCCAGATCCCCCGCAGCCGCTGTAAGCTCTTGCCTCTGTTGACCCAAAGATAGCTCCGTGAATCACCTGCGTCCTTCTGCAACTTCCACGTATCGTACCTGTCCCAAGAATGCCCCAGCAGTAGACAAACTCGTAATCGCAAAAAATTGAAAGATCTGCCCTCTTTTATCATGGAAGTGTTGCCATAAGAGGGCCAAGCAGCTCCTCATCCACGACCTTCATGGCCTTCCAGTCTTCGCTCATGACGCGACTCTTCTCTTCAGCGGAGAAGGCCACAGACTTGATGAACTTGTAGATCAGAGTGCGCGGCAGAAATGGCCGAGACTCACTGTGTTCCGATAGCTTTGGTGCCACCTTCTCCCAAGCCTGCCTTGGACCACAAGGCTCAGACTTGGGCAGAACTACAAACAGAACCAGATATCAAACGTTGCGGTCGAGCAGCTCGAGCCAGTTTGGCCAGTGCTGCCTAAAGTTGAATTGAAGTCGACAGTTGTGCTGTCGGCTGTACTGTTTCACAGGGCTTGCACGTCACTCTCTCGTCCAGCCCAGTCGCACACTCATCTCACGAAGCCCATCGTCCGTCTCATCTGCGTCCTTCTCCTTGTCGAGCACTTTGCCTACGAAGCCGCAGATGTTGAGGTGCTGCAGAAGCCTTGGACATGCGAAGGTGCCGTGCTGTGAGTGCCCTTCCTCGAACTCATAAATCGGCCGTGGCTCATCACCATCTGAGCCTTCCAAATTCGCCCGGCAGCGCCGTCAGCCACATCGGCGCAAGAAATCTGCAAAAAACAAGATGCTCGTGCAGTAGGAAATTTGCTCCTCATACGAGAATTGCCAGTCTGGCTTTGGAAGGTACTGATTAAGTGGCCTTGCGCAGGAAGTCCAGGAACTTGTCCTTGGGAAGCATGCCATCCTTGGCCGCTGCCATCTCCTCAGTCGACCATACGACCATTGCGAGGAATGCTGAAGTGACGGGCTATCATCCTACCGTGCGACACAGCCAGAAAAAAGGTCGGAGTTGCCCCAAGGACAAAAGCAGCTCGACGAGCAGTCCTCCTTTCTGCTGACCAAGTGTCGAACTGGTACATGACCTGCTCGCGACTGAGGACATTGGTCTCACTTTTGTTCCTTTCTGAAGCCAAAGGGAACCCGATGTTCTTCAGGATCTTTTCCTCATGGCCAAGCACGATTCTCAGTTCTGAGACTGTTCTAAGCAGTGCAGGTCATGGCGGTTGAAGCAGAGCGCATGGATCTACAGTAGCAGGCTCCATGACCATGAAGAGGCAGAGCGGCCATTGCACCCCACCAGATCTGACCATGAACCAGCTCACGGACAAAATCTTCCACGTCTGCTGGGTCGACAACCAAATCCTGCAGATGTCAATGCGCCCCAAAAGCTTTGGCACACGATTTCGAGCAACAGCTTCCCACCGCAGCGAAAATTCTCGATCCCAACGCGGCACTAGCATTCACTGCTGCTTGGCGAGGAAACAGCCTACCTGGAATAGACCAAACAGCCATACCAACCAGAATGCCCTGTCAAGCGACCTTGGATTCCATTCCGTCGTCATCTTCCCGCCTCCGGCCGTAAAATGTAGCAGCTTTTCCTATGCAATCTTGCCTGGCACCTCGCAACATTCCGCAACTATCCGTAATAGAGGGAAGTTATGCCACACGCCGGCCCAATGCACACGCGCGCGTTCTTCCAGCGAGGGCTTCGCAGGTTTGCGGCCACACTTCGTGCAGTGTATAACGTCTCTTACCCTGGACCTCCAGCTGTGCACTCCACGCTCAACGCGATTGTAAAAGGCAGTGTAGTGCATGGCCTGGCCGGAAGTCTGCAGTGCAGGTTTAGTGGACTGCGTCAACAGATTTCTTGATGGATCCTGGCCACAGAAGATACAAGCCCCATGTGCAAGACACACACACACACACATGTCGTTTGCCTTTTTCTTCTGGGCGCTCTTGTCCAGAAGGCCAACATCTTCCAAGAATGCTATCAAGCCGTCCTGTCGTTGGTAAGTAAAAAGCACCATGCCCTGCACCATATTTGATTGACGTCCTGCACAGGACGCTGCATGCATCTCATCCAACATCCACCGAACCAAGCAACCCCCATGGCCGATAGGCCTAGCATCATGCGCCTACAAGATCGGCACACAGCACCACTAGCGCCATGGTCAGCCCGGTCCGACACATCGGCCCGCTTCAGCGTGAGTCGTTGTCTCACCTGGCTCGGAAACGCCATTCTACGCCATCACCCGCAGCAAAAGACGAGATTCGGGTGCCTCAGTTCTCTTGATGCTGTTCTTCTTTCGTCGGATGGTGTCGAAGAGTTTCCTTGGAGAACCCTCCATGCACGCGGATCGCAGAGTGCCTGCAACGCCCATGAAACCAGATTTGCATTGCAAATCCTCGAGTCGACGACCCCTCCTAGCAACTGAGCCGCTGAGCAGAGCTGTGGGGCCGCTGTTCGTCCAGGACGAAGCGGACCTGCTTGTCAATCTCCTGGGCTGAGGTTAGTTTTCACGATCTTGAAATACGGGGCCTGCCGTGGACTCAAAGTCTTACCTTTACATCGGATGTCGAGCCAGTGCTCTCAGCGTGCAGTGAGGGATACTAATGCTGACTAGCCGTGCTTTGGCACAGTCCACCTGCCTTTCACTTCATTGCCTAACGCGATACCTCCTTTCAGTTTGCATCTGTGTCTGCAAGTCACAGCTGGAAGTGTGGTCTCCACGAAGGGCGTCACTTTCTCTGAGATGTCCACCTGGGGGCCGGTGCTTGTGATGATTCATCGTCTCTCTGAGTTCATGGAGGCGTTCTTCAAAGCGTAGCTGCTTAGCGTTGCTAGGGCACAGGCAGCCGTAAGCTACATCTGGCCGGAGATGGGGCTAACTAGGCTGCTTGTTGCGACAGCTCTGCCCTCATCTCGAGGGGGGCGGGGGGGGGGGGTGGCCAAGCACGTAGCAGGTGACGAGGTGACGCACTCGCCCTGGCGCACTTTCGTGGAGGTTGAGGGGCAAGCGCGCTGCAGGTGACTGGCCCCGGTGCGATTTCGTGGGCTCCACAATCCGGCAAACCTGACCGTCCCTTGCGCCTGGCTCAGCGACTCATCCAGATGTTCTACCATCCGCAAGTACACTTTGTCCACTTGCTGCTGGTTGAGATCCTGGATGCAGATCCTTAGATTAGATGCTAGTTTGCACGACGCCCTGAGCGTGCAGCGCTTGGCCAAGCGCAGACATTGCAGGACCGGGAGACTCTCGCGGGACTCCTGAACCATCAACCTGGCAATCCACAATCCCAAGCCCAAACCCCAAAAACACACCAAAGGCTTTACCACATCCCCAAAACTCCCACAAAAACTCCCAGGTAACCTCCTGAACCGCCAAAAGCCACCATGCCGAGAAGCTGAAGCGAGGATCGGGCGTCTTTGCCCTCGCTGATCCGCTCCAAGGCCTTGAACTTGGCAGCGTTGGCGCGGGACATGCCTTGAAACCGACAGCCGCAGTGAGAGCTTGCACTTGTAAGACCTTGAAATTTCTGGCACACTGATGCTGCTACTGACTGCAACAACGCCTCCCACCTCATCTTACCTTACCCGCCTGTTGTTCTCCTTCCAAGCACTCATTAGTCCTCTCACTCATTTGTTTTGTGATTCCACATGGCCTAGTTGACACGTGAAGCGAAGCGACGCATTCTACCCCTTAGAAAGCAGCACCTTCCATTCGTTCTCGTTCAAATCCACACGCGAACCGAACTTCGCAGGCACCGTGGTGTTTAGCTTTCGCTTCATGGCCAAGCCTCGCCTATCAATCGCGTGAAGTTATCTACTAGAACTGCCTGAGCTGCATGAAGAGGCTATAGACGGGGAGGAATGCAAAACCTTTCGCACGAATTGCGGCTCCAAAAGCAGAAGAGCTGCAAATCGCCAACTTCTTCGGGTTGCGAAGAGCGTCGTCTACATCTGGAGCCACTTCCATGTGGCGCTCCTGCTCGAGGAAGCACCACTAGGATCCACTAGGAAGGGTCTTTCACCATGGTCACTTCGCAGCTGACGTATGCTAAAGTATGAATCATGGTGGGACTCGCTTCCTGCATGCGCACAAAGACCTTCATCAGCTTCTCCTGCAGATCCTCAGCGCCACCACTCAACCCGGCACGCTGCTCAAGAGCGAAATCTCAGCCCATGGCAAGGCAGGATTTCAAGTATATGGTCTCGTTCAGCACAGGGCGCGGATCCGTAGTTGTGGATGTTCTCGCCACCCTCTTCGCGTTCTTTGTCTTCCAATCGCATGCGCCTTGGCATGAGGCTTTTCTCGTGTAGAGAGGGTTCTTGTGCCCCCTTGTGACAACTTGTGGGTCATCTAATTATGCTGACTCGACTTGGCAAGCTCTTCTATACCTAGCAAGATCTGCGACTGATCGGAAAATCCAAGTCGCAGATCCAGGTAAGGCATCACACTCGTGTCCTCTTGCGGGAGGCCTTGCCACAGTCGGCAACTTCTGAGCGCAGCCGCATGAACAAGTTCGGAGATTGCATTCATACGTTTCTCAAGCATATTATATGTGGGTCGAGAGCCAAAGCAGATGCAATAAGGTTGCTGAGGTCACCGCCTAAAGACTCGAGCACGTTCTCGGTTGTTTCGATCGCGTTGCCCTCGCCGTTCCTGATTTCAAACTCATCCTAATTCGGCTAAGGAAGGCTGTCTTACGAAGCTGTCGCTGTCGCAACGGCACGGTCTTGAAGCCACGCCTTGGATGCTGGCAGGGCACTCGCTGGCCGTAATGGAGGCCCAGTTCTTCGCCTTGACAAGCGCGCGGTTGAACAAGCACCTTGGCATCAGCGTGCCAAAAGGCCGGTGTTGTCACTCTTGCACAGAGCTTTGAAGAATGTTGGCTTTCAGACTTCACTTCTCGCTTTGACTTTGCAACTCGCACATTTGCCAGTCTTCTCGACCAGGCGTCCACAGCTTGGAACCTACCTGCTTGTTAAGCGCACCAGGACCCACCTGCAAGAACCTAAAAGCATCTAAAAGCCCTCTCCAGTTCCTGCGTGCCAAGGCTCCCCAGGACCTCCTTTGGCGGCTTTTTCTTGCTGACACTGATGATGTCCTTCACGTCTTTGAGCTATGCTAGCACTGTTCGCTTCTTCGCTAGAGCCGCTAGAGCTGTCCTGGACCTCCCTGTTCTGAGTGAGTCGTTCCCGCACGTACTTGCAGGAATTCCTCGGCACCCCACTGCAACTTGCAGCCCCAACATGAAATTGCAGTCGAGCTGCAGATGTAGAACCCATGACTCATTGAGCGATTGCTATGCTGCTCCGCCTGTGCCAGCTTGCCGCTGCTTCATGCTGAGGTGCTCTGCCAGTGACTCCTCCAGCTTGCGGAACTGGGCACTCACGGCCTCCGGGAGGGTTCTCAGGAGTTGAGGACATGGGGTAGAAGAACGAGCTCAGGGCTGGTTCGGTGAGGGGGGGCAGATTCAGTGCATATCAGAGTATTGAAAAAATATTTACAACTTTTTTGCAGCGGACCGCCTCAACAACCACCACACTGTATGGCGAAAACCGTACTCACTAGAGGGCGAAGTCTCGACCTAACGCAACACTGAGGCGACAAACCCTACCTTCCGGAACACTTTACGAAACCCTATGAGAAAGGGTGGGACTAAAGCCCCTAAGCTCGGGAGATGCAACGTGCAATGCACAGAATGCAATACATGTGCTGGCAATACCTCGACTTTGAACCTCAAAGGTGGCCCCCAGATGCTTGACCCTTCGCAGCATTCCTGAGCGTCCACTCGCAGTTTCCAAAGAGGCCTTGGAACGTCCGGAAGAGGTCTTGTCGTACTGGTCCAGGAAAGTGTCGCAGGCCTGGCGAGGCAATCCCAAGGCGTCCTCGTCGCTGAGGGTTGAGGAATGGTTCAAGCGGTGCATGTTCGATGCTGGACCTTGCCAAGACCCCATGCTCTCCCAGAAACTAGCGGCAACATACCGTAACATACCACAAACGGCCCTCCAGCCAGAAACCTCGATCCAAAGGCCAAAACGATCGAAGCGCTGCGCAGCGCGACCCAGGGCCCCAACCAGTTCCAAAACCTCCGGTATCTCTTCACGTAGAGACCGCTCCAGCTCATCCTGCCAGCTCTGCGATTTGATTTTCTGCCGCACATGACTTTGCTTCGACTTTGTTTCACTGCCGAAACTGTTTGCAGCACCCCTACCGGGTTTGCACATGGCTCTACAGGTTGTTGCCACGTATCAAGTGCAGTGTCGCGTAGTTGCTCTGCTTCAGCATTTTCTGCCAGTCTTCCAGTGCGCCTGGATTACTGGCCACGTTTTGGTTGGTCCTTCGTCGTCTTCAGGCCGGAGATCATGGTGGCAAACACAGCCGCGAGACCGCCCGCACAGGCAAGCGCGGTCAGCATCTGTCAGGGATGATAGCTTCAAGGCCCATTGAATTGAGTCAGAACTGTGTGTGCAAAGGCCTGTTCTGGGTAGATGACCACAACCATGGCGAACCATAGAACACTCGAGATCATGAATGACAGGATTGCCCACAAGTATGTGGTGACGATGATGTTGCCAACGGCATTGATGAGGCGGTGTACAGCGTGCTGGAAGTCAAAGGGCGGCAAGTTCCTGATAGGAACAACAGCTACCTACATCGGCTGCGCCGGCTACGCGTCGCCTGTCACCCTCAAGGTAAATAAAAGCTTTGAGCTCGGGCTCTTTTTTTGTGTCCCTCCCACATCTCCCGCCTCAGAAAGTTGGACTCACAAATCAAGAGGAGCACGAGCACGCTGGTCGCCGTGCTGCCCACCAAGGCCACGAAGGACACCGAGGAGAGGCCTTCCATCCAGTCCTCGAGAGTGTGACCTCCAGGGGGTGGCCTTAAGCATGGCCTTGTCACATTTCCACCTTGCTCGGGGCCAAGCTTGCCCGGATCCCTCAGAATTTCGGATATTCGGTGGGGTTCAAACAGGCAATAGGAATGTCTCTGGGATGTGTTGAGGCTTTGGGGTTTGGATGCCCGCGTTCGAGGCCATCAAGCAAGCGAGGGTTCGTGAGAAGTTATCACCGCACGCATTGGACATGTCTAGAGCTTGACATCGCCTCAGTCAAATGCAGCACATCATGCGGCCCACACCTGACACTACGCCAGAGAAGGTGATATCAGGAATGTGGGACTTTGACCGCAACGCGACGTCGTACTCCTGATCCATGGAAAGCTCACGTGTCAAGAACACAGTGCTGCCATGCGCTTCATGCTTCGATGAGGCTTTGCTGAAACAGTGATAGACAGAATCCTCGGGGTTGCTTGCGAAGAACATGCCGACCAGCTCGTAGCAAAGGCCAAAGACCAGCAGCAGAAATGGCAGAAGGAGGAAGGAAGCCATCTGGAGCAAATACCTCGTCTTCTGCTTGAAATCCTAATCCACAACTCCATCCCCACACATCACGAACCTGACCCCGAACCAGAACCTCAGTCATACTCTATACTGCAGACGTGGCGCAAGAAGCCTTCACAACAGTAGGGCACCAGACCGTACAGCGGCGCTTGCAAACAGGCCAAGAGGTTGTCTGCCTGGACCACAGTCGCAACGAAAGCTAGTACTAGTAGCAGCATGACGGTGGCAGGCAGCGCTGTCTTTGCGGCAGCATCCACGTAATTCTCTAAGTTCAAGTTGTGCGAAAAGTTTCCTACGTCTGAGGGAGGGGGTGGGCCTCAGGTGCGAGTGGGGACGGGGGGTCTGGGGCCTCGGGTCGGGCTTGCTGTAAAGTGGTAGAGTTTTGATGAATCAGGCAAAAACGAAAAATTAAGAAACATCCCTGATATCCGTCGACTCCACCAGATTTAGGGTTTGGATTTGCGGCTTTAGGGGACCCCTCCGCCCCTTTCCGCTCAACTCCCCGACCCGACTCAAAGCATCTACGATCAGTTTTGGGGAGCGGCCGCTGATTCGCCGGCAGACGTTCTCGATCCGGCCCGGCGCGCATCATCGACCCTACCCTTTTACACCCCCGAAGGGGCAGGGCAGGGGCAACAAGGGTGGGGGTTTGAGGCACGTGTGGGGAACCTCATAAAACCAGGCGCCATGGCCCTGAGCCTACGCCACAGCAGTGCGCATCATGAGCATCAGCGGCTCGGGTCCGGGGCCGGGCGCGTCAGCGATCAGCGGCCGGACCGAGAGCCCGAAAGTTCGCATCCCGTTCATGGGCCGATATGGCCGACACGAAACACCCTCCCCCTTCCTGGGGGCGTGGTTGCACCTTGGATTTTGGGCTCTTTTGTTGGCGTTTTCAAGCTTTGCTTTGGGGCTTCAAGCATTGGCTTGGGGTCCTGCTGAAGCCCTTTCTGTGGTGAGGGAAGGCGCGGGCGCCCCGCAAGCAGCTCCAAGCAGTGCATCCCCCCAACTTGACCCAGACAGTGCCATGGTCCTGAGCCTGGCCCTGTGGAGTCGTGGGTTTTTTGTTGGTTTTGGCCCATGTGGACCTTGCAAGCCTTCAATGGGGCGGATGTTGGAAAGCCGACCATTCACGCCTCAGCGGTGCGCATCATGAGCATCAGCGGCTCGGGTCCCCCGGCCCCCCGCCTGTGGCGTAGTTGCGGCTTGAGTGTTTTAGCTCTTTTTCTGGTGCTTTCAGGCCTTTGGCTTGGGTTCCTCGCTGCTGTGGTGGGGGAGGGGGGGGGGGGGAGGGTGGTGTGTGAGGGGAAGTATTCGGGGTTTGTTTTGAGGTTTCAAGCCCTTCTGTGCATCTTAGCCCATGAAAATATCAGGACCAAACTCCAACAGCAACTTGCACAAGCTCCAAGGAGCTAGCTTTCACGAAAAGCCCGAAGATATCGATCACTGAAGGTCAACACTCATACGAAATAATTGAACTCCAAAAGCTCCAAAACCCCAACTCGGATCCACCAGGGGACGACTCGCCGCCCGCCCAATACTTGGACCGTCTGGTAAGCCACTTGGAGCTGCAATGCTTCTGCACCCTGAGCAAATGCGTTAATGATGTTGTCCACGGGGTAGAACGAGTTCAACAACCTGAGGAGGATCAGATACTTACTTAGTAGAACATCGTCGAAGCCAGAATCTGAAGAACGGGTGGATTCGGGCAGCTCAAGCTGGGCTCCTACACGAAATCGTACCTTGTACGTGCAGTATGGGCGCATGCCGTGATGGAAACAGAGACTTCAAGGGTGCTGGTTGACAAACACTGAGCAAGCTTCACCGACTCCGTCGCAAACCTTCTACATCGAAACATGTCTGCCCCAATCACGCCAAGCTACAAGAAGCTTGGCATCCAGCCAGTTCCGTATGCAACATCGAAGATGCTGGGATAACGTGGCCAGGCATTCCTACCAGCTCAATTCTCCAAAACTTCAACGAAGTCTTCAAGTTCAGGTATGTAGTCTTGGCCACGGCTGACCCAAGATCTACCACATCCCACTCACAGAGTCGTTGTCTCTATCCCGACTTGGTCAACTGGCCATTCATACGACGTTAGTCCAAGCGTCTCCAAGAAGCCAACTGTCTGAAAGGTCGCACGATACTCCTGGCACGTTTCATAACTGAGGCTTGGCATTGAAGCTCCGGTCGGTAGCATGAGGGAAACATGAAGGCATGCTAGAAACCCAATAAGCACACCAAGCTGACGTGGTTCGACTGAAGCACGTGTGCGTCACAAGACATGTACGCTAGCATCCCTTTGGATTGGCAGCCATGCATCACGAAGACTTTATTTGTGGAAGCTTTAGAAGGATCGACCTCAACCAAGCCAAACCCAGCCAAAGACCCTTTCCTGGATTTTGCTGCCTTACTTGAGTCGTGCTTCTATCCCACCAAGCTTCGAGCTACTGCAACTTTAGGTTGGGTAGCCCGTCCCGTGGCTTGATGACGATCGGCCCGGCCCGGGCGCCAGAGCGTCCGCCTCCAGCACCACTGGAGCCACCAAGCAGAGGCGACTTGCCAGAGGAAATAGTGTGGATCAGACCTTGAAAGTGCCAGGTTGTGGGTGTCCGAGCGCAGAGAACGCAATAGCAAGCTTGCAATGTTACACAGATCCATTTGTTGTTTCACCCTGCTTCGTGATGCAGGGTGGTAGATCAGGTTTAAAGCGGCAGCCCCTCCCATGCAGCGCGTAGGGTTTGGACTGCCCCCGGCATCGGAGCCCATCACGATCGGCTCACCCGAGGCGACGCTGGGATGCTTCGCGATGATGTTCTTCTCACTAATCATGATCCTCAGCTTGCTTGAACACTGGCGGAACCCAAGGCCCAAATTACGGAAACTTTTTCCAGTTTCTCCAATCTAAGGTCGGGGTGCAGCCCTGGACAGTCAAGCACTCGATCATCTTGCAGCACCTCCTCAAAGACCAGGTTCCTTCGGAGGTTGTGCACCACCTGACAGGCAATTCTATGCAATCCTGCACTCCTTGCACTTGCACTGCACAAAGGTTTTGAATGGTTTCGAGGAAGTTCCAAACACCACGTCCACATGCAATCCAAAGATCAGGCTAATGCTGTTGAATCTGCTGAAACCGCACAATGTGCAGAACGAGTATTTTCAGGGCAACTGTAGAAGCAGCATGCAGCTCCTCAGTGTGCAACTCCGCTCTCTTCTTCTTCTGCGCACTTCAGGGCCCCCTCCCGCTCGCTCTCGCTCTCGCTCTCGCTCTCGCGCTCTCTCTCTCTCTCTCTCTCTCTCTCTCTCTCTCTCTCTCTCTCTCTCTCATTATGTATATATATATATATAGGGTGTATGTATGAACATATGATATATTTGATATCTATATATATATATATTATATTTATTTATTTATATTTCTTTATATTTCTTTGTTTAATTATCTTTATCTTTATATTTATATTTGCATATTTATATTCATATTATATTTATATACATGCATGCATAGCTCAGTGGCGAAGCAATGCCTTCAGCTGCTCCCGTGCCACCACCATGCCATAGCTTGCCAGGGCGTCCTCCGTGACACGCTCCATCTCCATGTTGTTCATTCGGCAGAACGACCTCGGTATTGATACTCTAATGGAAACATCAAGGTACTGAAGACAGCCTGCACCAAGAGCGGTAGCTGAAGAGCACTCCAGACTACCGTCCGCATTTTTTCAACTGGGTCCAATCTTCATCGCTACCCTTCGCACTGATAGGGAGTCGTGCGTCAAGCGGCGCATACATAAGCTCGAACTCCGCAAGATTCCAAGTACGGCAGATGATGAACCGATGTGATTTCATCGGCATCTGCTCGTCAAGGGTGCCTCACAGCAGGTCGCCGACATTTTCCAGTCGTCGGGGTTGGGGGGAAAACAGGAGCCGAAATAGTTACAAGATCATCCCCGTAGAATCCCTGGACAATTACCATAAAACACACCCCAAAACAACATTCTGGCCCGCACAATTATTCAGTCTGCCAAAGCACTCCTGGCATACGTGACCTCGCCATCATGGTTGAACGCCTCAACGCCCATCTGGCAAACGACATAGTTGGCGGAGATGCCCGCCTCAGCAAGCAATTCTGTCAGAAGCTCGCAGGTCATTGCAGCATCTGGGTTGTTGTCTCCACGAGGTGTTCCACGGACTCAAGTACGGCTATGTTACCTCGAACGGTAGCCTCAACAGTCACTTTGTCAGGTGAGAAATCTCAGGCTTGCGCAGGGAAGGTGATCATTATCGAGGCCCCTCCATTGGAGACCTGTGCCTTCTCCACCAGCAAAACAGGATCCAGGTCCTTTCCATATCACTGGTCAGAAATGGTAAAAAGTGCAAAACACTTCTGGACTGGCTCATGCTGGTACAAGCGTCATCATCCGGATAAGTGAGGAAGATATCGAAATCCTTGATCTCCTGCAGACATCCCCAGTCCCTACGTCAACTTTCAAAGAAGCAGCGACATGACAACTGCCAGATTTTTGCTGTCAAGGCTCGGCAAGGGACTCACCTCAGTTCTCGATAGCTGGATGGGTCATGGTGTTTAAACCCAGACAGATGACCACGACGGATGCGGCCCGACGCCTAGCACGCTTGAACTAACGAGCCCTTTAGTGCCATCACTGCAACCGAGGGTACTGGTCGGATCCCACGCGACGAAGCGCTCCATGCCCTCGTAGTAAATCCTGAGCTTTGGGCTATCAGAGTCCGCACTTCCTCCACACACACACATTGCAGGACAGAGAAACGAGTCCTTGAACGATCGTCACGATCAAAACTAAATGTGAAACAGTATGCACATGATCAAACGCCAACATCAAGGAGTGCGATCGAACCAACATGTCCCAACATCAGCAAAGCCGAAAAGCAAACATGACGGCGTCGAGATAAAAACACAGATCATGGACGTGCATTGTACCAAAGTGGCCATTCAGAAAAGTCACTCACTTCTGACATCCACTGCTCAAGGGCGTTTTTCACATGTGCAATCGCAACGATGAAACACAACTCTGCATGTACAACTCAGAAGGGGGCTCAAGTCCACTCACGCATGAGGCACTCATATCTCAAACGCGGCAGCCGCTTGACAGGCGTGCCCTTGCGGCAAATGTCGCAGGCTGAGTTGACCAATGCATCGGTTGAGAACAAGCGGTGCGGCGACAGAGCAGCGGAACCGGCACACGCCACACACAACGGATAGATCAAAGTATCATCATGGAACGGTTTTTGTGCCACCTGTCAGAATACCTAACGCTTGGGCTTGAGACAATGCCTCTGTGCACGATTCCTCCGCGGAAACAAAAACTCAAAACTGAAACTGCTCATTCCTGAACCATCCAAAACTTTGATTTGGCCAAAACTGCATGGCTTCTGAGCCGATCCGGCAAGATGCGATGGGACTCCCAAACTAAACTTGTGCTTCAACAGTGCAGCTGAGGACGGTGTAAAGCCCTCCTAGGGATGCCAAAGGGGCGGATCTAAGAGGATACTTTCTTCAGGCCATGCACTTCTTTCTTGCAGCATGGCCCCTACCACCATAGTCTCTGTCGTAGCAACCATTTGAAGAATGGAAAAAGAGAAGGGCAACACTTTAGAACAAGTCCCGCTTATTTCATTGGCTTCCAAGCCCAGGAACTCCCCCGGCGGGTCCGACTGAAAGAAGCGGTCCCTGAAGGGCATCTGCTCGCACTCGGGGTCCAGCCTCGGTGCTTCCGTGTTGGTGTAAGGACGCCAAAGGGATGCCTCCGGAATGCCGCGGACATGCACTGTTACTTTGGAAAGGGGTGAAGGCTGGGTGGGGGAGAGAAGACATCCGGACGTTCCTTAACTCGATGTCAATCTCTGTGACCAGGAGCTCATTTCGAAAGGTCACCTCGGCCTCGACCCAGATAAGCCAATCCTCGTCAAACTCGCCTTCAACCTGGGCTTCTGGGCTCAAGAGCCACTTGAGCCACTTGAGCCACTTGAGCTGTTGAATTGAGTCCAGGATTGAGACAACGTCCCCCCCCCCCCCCCACCTTGTCAGTAACAAGTTCGACGAAGATCTGCTGCTCCTCCGACTGCTCAAAGGCTTCAACGAGGTCCCACCAATCCAGCTTGCCTGTAAACTAGCTTCGCCGAATCAGGTTTCATGGGAGCTGCAAAGCCACTGAACAAAAGTCTTTCCAGTCAGCGCGGGTCTTCAGCCATCCGATAGGCCTTCGGCAACATCTTCCCCCGACGACTTTCGCAGGGTGATGTACACGTCCGTAAGCCTTTTCAAGGACGTGCCCAAGACAAACTACTAGTGGCAACTGTGTGTGCATGTGTGGGGTGGGTCAATCTGAATCAATGCAAACTACAGCATGCTGAATAGTTTCTGTTGGGAACCTCCGGTCTGCCGCGCCCAGCTCCAGCGACTGGTTCGGGCCAATGATCGCCTCATCAAGCTCCTCTCGCTTGCTTGCGAGGTTGCTGGGGGCAGACTGCCACTGAAGCGGCCAAGTGGTGCTTAAGGCTGCATTGCATTGCTGCTTTGAACATTTTGCAACCTTTTTACGACGACGCTTGGTGCGAAGATGGGCTACTTTCGCTCTTACTTCATCAGCACCACCGAAGACCCCGAACAGCCCAAATCTCCGTGCACCATGAGCGACAAGGGCCCGAACTGCCCTTGGCCTCAACGGCCCCAAACTGAAGTCTGGAAGCTGTTCATTGCAAGCCCTCTGGGGCAGGTTTGCGCCGCTTGTGGACAGGCAAGGGGAGACACCCTGGCACTCATGACAGGAAAGGAAGCTGTCACTGCGCTGGCACAGCTGCGGAGACAAAGGGAGAAAAAGCGGGACGAGCTCCCCTAAATTCATCGCCCACACCATCTCTACATGAAAAGGAAGGCAAAACGCGACCACTTTTCGACCGTCACACCGACCTCGCATGAAGGGAGACGAAGGGAGACAGCGCAAACCCAGACCACACCGAAACATAAAGAACCGTCCATACTTGAGCATCAGTGATCTAGTGGCAGAATACATTGTTGCCATCGATGTGACCCGGGCCCGTTTCCCTGATACAGACCGTCAAAGCCTCTGTGTGTCTGGGCTCAGTTGCCGAGAAGAAGTAGAAAAAACATTTCCCATTTATCTCTCTCGCACTAGTGGCTCTGTTGTCTTTGTCTTGTCTTTCTTTCTTGTTGAATGCTCATGTCGATGGGGTGAGCAGACGCTGACAATCGCTGACATGTTGAACCGCGATCGCTGGATTCAGAGTCCAGAGTGCTAACCGTTACACCACGAAACTGCGACATTCAAGGGCGAAAACCTTATCCACTGCCAAACTTCGGCATCCTCACCAGTGAGATCTAGAACCCCTTATGGGGATTTTGTTTAGCGTCAACAACCTTGGCACGTCCTGCGTGCGGGCATCTTCGTCGTCATCAATGTCCATGCCCTCAGTGTAGCAAACGGACAGCCATCTGTTCCTCCCTTGAAGCAGAACTCCTTGTGCAAAGCCCCACCAGATCCGCTGGCCAAGTAGCCACATTCAACGGTTGAAAAATGCCGGTCTTGTCAAAGTTCCGACAAGTGCCGGAGCGTGTGTCCTTCTCGCATTTTACGCTGCTCTCGCCCATGTGCGCAGTGAGGCAAAAATCTGACTTGCAGTCCTCGGCTCCAAGCTTCGTGGGGGGAAGTGCCCTTTTTTGGGGAGCTTTTTTTAAGCCTCCATTTCAAACCCTTCCCTCTCACAATCCAGGAACTCGGAAGTCATTCCAGTTCTTGTGGTAGCACACCTTGATCTTGCCTCGCACTGCAGCGCTGCAGCGCCGCAGGCAGCATGGGCGCAGCGCAAAACGCAAGACTCTTGAACTGTTCGTCCGAGCCGCTGAGAATGACCAACTGTTGCGGATGCTTCCCACTGATGTTGAATTCTGCGAAATGCTCCACAAAATACCTTGGTTGTAACGTCCACACTTGCGGACAGCAGGCAGCTGACATGCTGGGCTCAATGATGGAGTCTCCCGACACCAGAATCCCTGAGCGTGCGAAGACACAGCCAAGAGTCTCCAAAGAATTGGTCGGGACTGCGAAATTGGACTTGAGAATGCGCAATGGCAGGTCGAAGACTGTGCTCCTCGGGATTCAGCTCTCGCACTCGTTATTTTAGAGTTTAGGGCTGAAAATTGGTTGGACATTCAGTGTATTCAGGACCTAAAGTCGCGAAGGTCAAAAAACAACTTCGGGGTGGAGTCGTCTCCTTGGCTTGATGTACACCTCATTCGACCAATCTGAGGTCGCCACATGCTCCTGGGTCTAGAGGGATTAGGGCTCAGGGGTTTGATCGCTCACTGTTCTGGGGGTTGGGGTTTAGGATGCTCAAGAAGAGGGACAGCACGAGGGTAACAAGAGAAGGGTATGTGCCTGCGCAAATTCGGACAACTCAGGCATTGCATTCACTGGCTTATTTCACACAAGTGGATACCTTTCACTTGCTCACAACATTCATGCACCGACAGGGTCTCTGACACACTGTGTTTTCCCTGTGTCTCCCTCTTGTACTGTGATTAAACCGGCTCCATGTCAAAATGAAAGCACGCATGGGCCACAAAAAGAGCATGTGTGATTGTAGCTTAAGGCAATACATGCATACATGCGTATTTGTATATATACGCCGATATGTCCATGTGCACATGGCCTTGTTGCGGAAAAGTGAGACAGAGAGAGAGAGAGAGAGAGAGAGAGAGAGAGAGAGAGAGAGAGAGAGAGAGAGAGAGAGAGAGAGAGAGAGAGAAAGAGAGAGAGCGAGAGACAGAGAGAGAGAGAGAGACAGAGAGAGAAAGAGAAGAGAGAGAGCGAGAGAGACAGAGAGAGACAGAGAGAGACAGAGAGACAGAGAGAGACAGAGAGAGAGAGAGAGAGAGAGAAAGAGAGAAAGAGAGAAAGAGAGAAAGAGAGAAAGAGAGAAAGAGAGAAAGAGAGAGAAAGAGAGAGAAAGAGAGAGAAAGAGAGAGAAAGAGAGAGAAAGAGAGAGAAAGAGAGAGAAAGATAACAATACAGATAGATAACGAGTAGAGAAAGCGAGTGAGAAAGGAGAGAAAGAGAGGGACGAGAGGGAAAGAGAGTGGAAAGAAGATGGAAAGAGAGGAAAGAGACTAAGAAAGGAGAGAAGACGAGAAAGCGAGATAAGAGAAAGCAAGAGAGAGAAGAAGAGAAAAGAGAGAGAAAGATAGAGAAAGATAGAGAGAACGAGAGGGGGAGAAAGAGAGGAAAAGAGATAGAACTAGCTAGAAAGATGCGAGAGAAAGAGAGAGAAAGAGAGAGAAAGAGAGAGAAAGAGAGAGAAAGAGAGAGAAAGAGAGAGAAAGAAAGAGAGAGAAATAGAAAAAAAGAAAGATAATGAAAGAAGAGGTGAGGAACTAGAGTCGCGAGCATGTGAGTACGCATCTCATCTAGAGCCAGAACCTGAGCAGCTGGATGACTAATAGGGTGTCTGAATAGACTGATTGGATGACGAGAGGACAGCAGAAGTCTTTGACAGGAGGGAGGGGAAGAGGAAACTGGCCAAACTTCCGAAAGCGGCTGGCTGAAGCCCGAGCCTGGTTGTGGTTGTAGCCCTCGATCTGGAAGCGATAGTTGTACTGGCACTTCAAATCCTTCCCGGTGGGTTCATAGCCACCGGTCGCGGGGTAGCCCTTGCTGCCTGACGCAGAGAAGAAAAACTCGACGATGATGTTGCTCTCACTCTTCATATCAATGCGCTCTTGGTTCGCCATGTCGATGCAAATCTCGTCACCCTCAAGCCCGCGTGAAGGATCAGGGTCGGCTTTCGCCTTCACGCAAAGGTACACCTCGGCCACTTGAGGATGATGGATGTCTGTGGGTCGTTTGGGGATCATTTGGGATTGAAGGGTAAGCTTCGAGCAGCCCCGGCACAGACTGCTGCACACCTGTTCGCTTGCGCCACCGCAGAATGACTCCTTGGTCAGGCTGCTCCACGTGTGTGGCAATGACTCGCCAGCTGGTGTTGGTCCTGGGCAATCAAAGCAAGCACTACAAGCTTCCGAACGCACCTTCAACTCGCTTGGTGTTCAAGGGCAAGGGTAGAGTGAGGTCCCCACTTGCCACTAAGCTTTCCAACGCGGTGCGAGGAGGCAGTGGTGACAGCCTCGTCCCGGAGTTCCTGAAATGGCTGGTGATCGGGTTATGATGGGCTAGGTGTCAAATTGTTGAGGCCTGGGTTCAGGCTTGAACTGTTGCACACCTTCTACGCAGCCACCACGGCCTCCTGCGCCTCTGCGTTGTTCTGCAGCCTGGGCCGCAAGTCTTGGCACTCAGCATCATCATGTCAAGGTGTTGGAAGGAACGAGCTTAGCCTTACAGTAGCAGCCTGATCAGCCTAGCGCAGTGACTTGATGCAAGGCCCTGGCCACATCAGGAAGCCTGCGGACACCGTGAAAGCGACCACTACGTTGAAAGCCACAGCAATGAGGAACATGAGCACGTTCACCTGAACATGTCTGCACCAGAGACTCGCCACAACAGCGGCTATGAAGACCCCAACATCCCCCCCAACCGTGCCCCAATTGTACTAGTGTACAACCCCCCCCCCCCCCAAACACTTTCGTGTATCTCAGTCCTGGGTGTAGCTGAGGGCAGAGGCCGCCCAGCCATTCGTAGCCTTGGTGAGGACCAGCGGTCGGCCGACATGGGGAACCCAGGCCACCGTGGCGCTAGGGGCCTCCGCCTCGCAACAACTTGAAGAAAAGCGCGTTCCGGGGTAGGGAACTTAGGGAACCTTCAAGGTTTCTGTTATTGGATCTACAATGTTACAGGCGCCAGCCGTCTTCCTAGCATGGCTACCAAGGGAGCCGCCCCAGGGGTGCTTGGTACATCCAGCAGTCTCTGCCAATTCGCAGGAGGGTGCAAATTCAAGCGTTGTAGCTGCTTTAAAACTTCCCAGCGAGCTACGCGAGCTGCTTTTGCTCGACCTAAAGAGTGGGCAACTGGAACCGAATCGCGGGCCGCACCCCTGTTGTCTGCTGCCTTCGTGCCTTCGTTACTGAGGACGTTTGGTTTCAATAGATTTGACGGTTACAACTCTCTGCTGGGCCGAGGTTGCTGCAACCCCTCTGCCATTTGACATATATGCATGTCTCCGTACACGTCATGCGCCAAGCCTTCTGCAAGAACGGCAGAAGAAGCTGGAACTCCTTGTCCAAGATGGGGTCTAACCGCCGCTTTGTGCGGTTATGGGCACCATGGAGCTCCTTGGGTGGCAGTGGCCATGCTCCTTGGGCACCGAACATCTTCACGATGCAGCAACACATCCCTTCGAACATGCGCCATACAATCTCTACGGGTGATCATCAGAGGGTAGGGGGCAGTGGAGGGGGCACTCCGGGGCTACAGCGGGATTCTCAGCGTGTGATTGGGGGGGCAGTCCAAGGAATCCAAGGCGTCCAACTGAATGCATTGGAGTTCTTGGAATATTTAGCCATTAGCATTCTGGAGTGGCACACTCGGCTGGCCAAAACTTGAGGCGGGGCTCCCAAGCCCATTGGGTGGATGTGCACCTCCTTCACAATCGGCCGCAGGGTGCCGGCAGAGAGCAACACATACCACTGCAGCGGCACGGTGAGGAAGGCCTCTGAGGAGAGGATTTCCCAGCTCCCCCTGGGCAAGTCGGGGCCGTTCACATGCACACGGGCCACCCAAGGCGCGGCCCCCTGTGCACGCTGCTTCATCCAATCCGCCAGATCCTCCAACTGCTCGACAGAGTGGTCAAAGATCTGCGGCTTCTTTTGGGAGCTCCCACGTACGACTTCGAGGCCTGGGGCTGCAGCATCTCTCCCTGCCTGCAGATAGCCAGCGGCCTCGTTCACAACATCCAAAGTGAAAATGCCCTTCGTGCCCGCAGATGAGTCGGAGTATGTCAAGTCGTACCTCACAAGAAACCGCGGCTCAGGTTTGAGGGCTACTGCTACACAAGGAGCTTTGAAACATAGCCTCGTTCTAGCATGCCTTCACCCTAGGTTTGACAGGACCATGGGTCCGGAGCACTATAACTGAACTCTGAGAATTTAGGAATTTAGGGCCTTTCCAACCATTTGTGGCGAGGACCCGTGCTTCAGGACTTTCGGCAAACTTTAGGTGCCTTCAGGCTTTATCTCCTGTCAGCTTTTTTGTACATCTTCTTGGGCTGCCGTTGCTTGCTTCCGCCTGCCCCTTTGGTTTGGCGATTGTGTGGTATTCTCCTGCTGCACCGGCCGGCCCACTCCACCCAACCATGGCCCAACCCCGTCAGCCCACACCTTTCGAGTCGGAAGGCTTCTCGCAAGTGCAAATTATTCTCGCCGGTTTGAAAAAACCGAATATTGAAAGAGACGACAACACAGAGAAGCTCTCATCCAGGCCGACTACTGAAAGCAGCGCGAACAAATCTGCAAATGGAAAGAAAACAAGATCAAGCCAGGAACCCAAAAACAATCCGAATTGCAAGAGTTCAAGAATGAAATTCCCACGGTAAAGTCCGCTCCGTATGCACATTTTCTAGAAGAGCAGAACAAGATATAAGGTGATGCAGGGTAGCTGATTACATACAGTACCCCGCGTGATCCGCTCCCGGATCAAAGACACAGTGATTCCAGTACCACATTTGTACTCTACTATACAACTCAACGAAAACGCGCCATCCCCGCGCCAATGATGCTCCGCAGATGCGCTGCAGACGTGCTCTCGCGCCCATCCGGCTCTCTGTCCTCCCGGCTCACGGACGCAGCGAGTCCAGCACCACAATTCAACGAAAATCCTCCTGGCTCCCTGCACCGCGCCGTTGACGCGCTCGCGCGCGCGCGCGCACGCAGCGCGCACGCAGCATTTCCAGTGCTACATTTGCACTTATACAATTCTTAACGAAAATCCGTTGGCTTCCCGTGCCAGTAAGCACCGCAGACGCGCCCCTCGATCCGGCACGAACAAAACTGCAAATGGAAAGAAAAAAAGACAATTGCATATTATGCAGAAAGCTCAGCTAGACCTGGCTTGTCGGAGGCTGTGGGCAAATCCGCCAATGTTTCGTTCCTCCGTTGTGCAGCGCGCCCTTGGCAGCACCGCCTGGGCGCTGGGTTCTGCGCTTCAAAACATGAAGGCTCGAGCTGTTCTGGAGCGGGGTTTGCGACCGCTTAGGAGCCGTGACCTCTGACACCCGCCGCGACAAACATGGTGCTGTTCTTGTCTTATCTGCGTGCTCTTTCCCAGCATCTGAGGTGCTGAATCGGCGCTCCTACCGTTCAGATGTTTGAATGCGCACGATCGGAACACTCTGGCCATGGGGCCCATTGAAGCTTGGAGTGTGGAGTTCATGAGTTCTGAGAGGTCAGAGGTCCTGCGGATTCGGACATCTGTAGCTGCCTTCATTAGCATGCGACGTCCCGATCCGATGTCTGCTGCGCTGTTGCTACCTGTTGCTACCTTTGGCCTCTCGCTTCCTTGCACTGCTGCCGAAAGGCCATAGAGTGGCAGAGGCAAGCGAGCAGCACTCTGGATTTCAATCAGTACAAGACCCGCAGCTGAAAGTTTCATTCGCTATAGTTGCAACCGTTGAATAATGGCAGCTGTCGACAACGTATGTCAATTGCTCAAGCTGGACCATCTAGGGCTGGCCCGCTTCTTGTACATCTGCCTGGGCTCTCTCCTCTTCAACATCTGCTCGTTTTCGTCGCTCTCGCACACGGTAGGCAAGGCTTCGAATCCGTCCAAACACAACAACACCCCTTCGAACACAACTCGTGTTGGGTCGCTGTACCCCACTGGAAGGCAGCTGGGAAGGCCCAGCTCAGAATTTAACAGGCCATGCATGAAATCAGCCTGCGTGACTCTTCGTGAGTATTTGTTCGGCTGCGTTTCCGGCCAGGCAAAGCCGCAAAGAAGCTTCCCGCAAACACCCAGGGAGCCACGAGAAGCATGCAGAACAAAAATCACGCTGAGAACACTTGAGAACTAAGCCGCGGACCCTGAACTGGTCTTGGAGGCAGCATCGCCGCAGAGCACCGAGTTAGTTTCAGCCTCGCCATGCAGCTTCACGGAGATGTCCGATGGAATCTGAGCGAAGACGTTCACACTGTCTGCCTGCGGAGCTCAAGAATCTTGACCGAACAAGCTCAACTCCCTGGAGCCCAAGCCTTGAGATGCACCTCCCAGTCTTCCGTAGGCGCTTTTGGGTGAAACGCAACCATACCGTGTGAGCCTGGGCCGCATGTTTCTAAAGGGTTCCTGTGCCTGTGCAGGCATAAGCTACTATGACTTGTTAGGACCCGCAAAAAAAATAGATACCTGTCAGCAGGGTTCATAAAGGGGCATCAGGACATCACCCCTCCCTTAGGGGGGGGGGGGGGTCGAAAATGCAGATTCAATTTCCCCCCCCACCCGACCCAAGCAGACTCAGGGAGAAAATGCAGAATCTAAGGCTTGAATCCTCCCTATGATGGGGTCCCTCAGGCGGCCCTCAGCTGCTTCCTTTTGCTCACAGGGTTTCGGGTTTCGTGTTTAGGGTGCTACATCCAGCAAAATCCAAGATACATACTTCCAGTTCGTCAACAGCAACCCTGAATCTAAACTAAACGCGAAGCCATAAGCCTTAAACCCTCAGACAAAACCACTAAGGAGGCCCCAAAAGAATGCAGAAAGGTTCGGGAGGCCCCAGAAAAGCCTCCATTTAGAATTTTCGAAGGCCTGTAGGCCTTCAAAGGCACTCCGGGAGGCCCTCCAAAAAAGGCCTCCCAAAAAAGGCATTGGCGCAAGGGTATCAGAAACACCTTTATGGTTTAGGGTCTATAGGGGTTCGTGTTGGGAAATATGGTATGTTATGACAAAAAAACTCTTTCTCACACCATGATGTACAATACACTAAACCGATACCCGTTCACTCCCAGTCCCCCCGAGCACTCACCTAAGCTAAGCGCGGCTCCTGGAAGTGAAGTTTAGGGTTTAAGGTTTAGAGAAGCAGTCTTCTCTTGGGAAATACCTCTAATGCAATTGTAACACTTTTAATTTAAAGAAAGAGAGATGGGAAAAAAGACCCGGGGTGCCTTAAACTTGAGGGTTTCGGGTTTAGAGGCTTCCTGCCGCTCTTGCACGCAGAGTGCCCTTGTGCTAGCTGCCCTTTCGCTACCCCGGAATGAAGCCGCAACAAGGAGCCCCCAAAAGAAATCACCAATTCCCGATCCGGAAACACCTTTAGGGTTAGGGTTTCGGGTCTTGATTCAGGGTTGAAGGTTGCAGAGTATGAGGCCTCAGGCCAGAAGCCAAACCGTAAACCCGAAACCCCGACGTAACCCAAAAAAAGGTTCGGGAGGCCCCAGAAAGGCCCCCAACAACCCGTAGAAGGTAGGTCCCCCCCCCCAAAAAGGCATTGGAGGCCCCAAACAAGCACAAGGGCGGTTTAGGGTTATCGGGATATAGGGCTTTGCCCTAAGCCCAAAAATGGGTCTTGACAGGCCGGCGAGGAATTGCAACACACGTTTCCTGCATGCCTTATCCGGCCACACAGAGCATGCCTGCAATTTTCCCCCTCTCGACGCCCCCCCCCCCAACCATATGGAGAAACACGGAACAGGAAAAATGCAGAAAAAAATGTTCTGCAATTTGGTACCCCTTTTCTGCATTTATCAGGGTGGGGGGATATCAGGATTAGCTAACATGTTCCTGACCGTTTCCAATCTTTATTCGGATCTTGTCGAATTATTTCTGCAGTTGTTTTGCATTTTCCAACCTTTCTCCTGAGTGTTTCCAACCAGAAGAAGTTACAAACACCACCACCACATAAGTCAGGAAAAGTCAGAAACAAGTCTTGTGGGCCCCGGACGGGGCGATGGCGGGAATCTTAAATTTGTTGTTTCGTTTTCTGACGTATTGCAACTTTTTTGAGTCTCTTGAATCGGTGTCCCACTCTAATCATAGGGCGCGCGACCTGACGTCTGACTTTTTGCTGGCTTTGTATTTTTCCGATGATTCATGCGAGAAGTAAGCTAGGGAGCGAACGACATAAATGTAGACAGCTATGTTTTCGGGTTCGGCTCAGGGTTCCCGTAGGGGTTAACCGACACGTAGCAACATAGCTAAATTCGG